TAACGAGTTGACGCGACTTATATAAAAATATATTATTTTAACTATTCGCATAACGCATCTCCTATCATCATTACCGATAAGTTAAAAATTTTAAAAACTATAATATTGATTTTACACTTTTTTAATGTGTATTCAGAGCAGAAACACAAGAAACGTGATAATGGAATTTATATTACTTACCAAAATCTGTTATCATTTTTTTTACAATTTGCTTCAACCAAAAAGAGTTATTAGCATTATGTGTAAAAAATGAACAAGAAGGTAATAACCAAAAAAAAGTTCTCTTATCAAAATCGTCTTCTATGAGCTCCTGAGTAGGTATCATCTTATGGGGATGCAATTTATTTTCTTTTAATATGTTTACTATCGATGCATGGCTAGCATTGAATGTAGTGGATGCCTGTCTACTCGATGTATGTGGATTTTCCTGAAACTCAAGCAAAACATCTAATTTGAGTTCATCACTCAGTGCATTGGCAGCTGTTTTTTTTTATCTGCCTTACATGACCAAACTCGCGAAACTGCCGCGATAAACTTTTTTTATCTTCCGTTAATCTAACCATTTTCAAAAATGAATTGAACGAACTTTTTACTTAAAGTAAAATACTGACAACTTAAATAAAACAATTTACTAATGCGTGTTAAAATAACGTTGCCACGGAAATTCTTTAAAGTTTTTTAATGGTTACCATCTAAAAACCACATTGCTATGGTTTTTGTTTACTTTCTCATTATTAAGACCTAAACGGGAAATAAGCCTTGAGTATATTTTAGCGAATTTCGGTAACCACATGATTTTAATTTATTTTTTCTTAATTAATCTTAATAAACTTAAAAGCGACAACATTTTTGAATGAAGAATGAAAAGACCTTTCGAATGATATATCACAAGCCTATACTTCCCATTTTAAAAATTGGGGGTTGTACCTGTCATTCTAAGGACTTGAAGGTAGGGGTTGCATTTTCACGTTAAAGAATGTCAAGTTATAATTTAAATTTGACGTATTTCGGGATTTTTTATAAATATGTACAGTAACCTAAATATTGAATTTATTCCATTTGGCTTTTACACACTGTATGTTGTACTGTTAGTTTATTATGACACACATCAAACATCGGAGAAAATTCCTTCATTAATCATAAATCATCATTCATAAAATCATGGGTTATCTTTGTATGTCCAAGTCGCAATCTTGATATGATGACTTGATCTCTTTTCTCAGTAGAAAGTTTCCACAGCAACACACTTTGTTTGATAGTTCTTAAAGTAGAGTTTGAATTATTCCAATTTTGTCATGATTTTGTTACTTTAAATTTGTATTACTTTAAATCAGTATGAACACAGGTAGTTATGATGTCTGTTAACGGATTATCACTTACATTTTTTGCTGATTATGTCGGTTTTATTATTTTCACTTATCTCGCAATTTGAAAGTACCCATCCAGCCCTTCAAAGCAGGGCTGGATGTTTGGGGTACAATTGCTTTAGGGCTGTTAATGCACTCAAGAAGTCGCTGATGATTAGACAGTAATTGATGTCATGTGTGTTGACAAACGGTAATGCCTGGAGGATAGAAAATAGTTCAGCGAGAATATGGAGGTCTGGGAAGGAAGCTGAGAGGAACTTTTATAGTAATCTGTTATGAAAGCCGCCCCTACTCCTTTTGCATATATGTATGGATTAGTAAAAATATGGATTAGTATAAAGGATGTGTTTGAAATTTTTTTCTGGTACGTCACATTTCTCGAATACAGAAAAATTTATATTACAATCAAAGGGAGCAATGAAGCATTGCTTTCACTCAATGATAAAACGAAGGATTTTTCCAATTTTTTTCCAAATTAATCATCGATGTAAATCTATCTGTAAATGTGTTTTTATAACCCAGTATAAGTCAGGCCACAAAAACTGTCTACCTAATATTTTTGGTACAGTCTGACCGAAATCTTAAATTTAGGACAATTGAATTATTACACACAAGATTTTAGTGTAGTGATCACAAATCTCTAGTAATAGTATGTAGGAGAAGAAGAATACACTTGTATTAATAAAATATTAGATTAAAAACCATTTAACATAAACTACATTCCTCTAAGATGCCAGTTGATACGGCCCTGCTTATCAAACATTAGTCGAACCGACAACGGCCCTCCAGTACAAAAGATGACATTTTTACCATCACGTTTATGCCCGCTTAGTAGTATAATACATAATAACATTGTTAGGGTGTCCAGAGAGGGGATCCGACGACAGGGGCAGGGAGTAGGAAGAATGCGTCACGTGACTAAATTACGCAATGAACGTCGTATTAGTCTCGCCGACAGAAAACGTGCGAAGAATCGGAAGTTCAAGTCTCAATATCAAGTAGATGGGTATATATCAGGAATTGGGAGTTGTATCCTGAGTTTTCTATTCGGGAAGCTTTTAGAAAGAATTCCGGAAGAAATGGGAAATAGTCGAAACCGAAGTGTTACATTTGATAACTTTAATAGCTTTATAACGTAGCACGGACACGATTTTATTATAAAGCCTTTCATATAACACGTTCGTAAGATATTGGATCATATATGTTTTTTTTTCCATATTTTTACGGATCATTTCATAAGCAACTAAAGTGTGCAGAGAAAGAAAAGACGTTTATTTATTGTGTAAAAAACCCTAACATACGAGAAATATCTGCAGAAATTAATAACGAACAGTGGATATGCAATGCATGCCGAAATGAATCTGCCTCTTGTGGACACTAGAGATGATCTCAGAGGACTGGGTCTTGGAAAATTCATATATGTCAGACAAACGACAAAAGAGTTTGACAATATGTAGGCATAAGACTTTTTTAAATGTTATATTTACAATATTATTGGGAATTATACACTGCCGACTTAAGCAGAGTTCAGGAAAAATAATAGATGCGTACGAATGTGGTTTTAAACTAAAAATATTAAGTTAGGCATACATGCAAACAGACCAAAATAGAAAATAACAACTCCACTGGCGATAACGGATGGATGACGGATGGAGACATTCAAACTAGGTGGATATCAAATTATCCAGGCTTTGTCCAAACTTATCACCGAATGTACCTATCAAGGAAAAACTTCAATGGAGTCATTGTTTTATTACAAAAGCAAGCAGACATAACATATCCAAAATCTACTGTCGTATCATTTTGCTCTTACACATAAAATTTTCACCAAAATTATCAAAAAAAAACTGAAGGCTTCTATCAATGTTAGACTTCTGTCAGCGTAGACAACAAGCTGGATTTAGATCGGGATATAGCACTAACGATCACTTACTAGCGATAAATAAATGGATAGAGAAGTCTGCAAAATGCAACAAATTATTGGCACTGATATTGGTAAACTACGAGAAAGCATTCGATACCATAACTCAATAGAAAATGTTAAAAACATTAACAGAATGCCGAGTAGACCAAATGTACATGTTTAATCAAATATATCTACCAAAATGTCACAGCTATCGTTAGAATATATAAACAAGAAACAATTAAATTCGCGTAGACAGCGAGGAGTACAGCAAGGAGACAAAGTCTCTTCAAAGCTATTCACGACGCGACGCTTTTAGAACATTTTAAAATTTGTAGATGACATCTTCTTTATAGCCAATTTTATAGGTGATGCAATAATAACATTTTAAAAAAATTATACTATACTTTCTTAGAGCTCAGACTAAAGACTAACAACAAGACGAAAATAGTGACTAATCTGGTACAAAATCGAAATACTGTTGTTTGTTGATAAAAGGGATATTGTCCAGACAGCATCGTATAAGTACTTAGGACATAAATTTCGGTTGGGCAGAGATAACCAGACATGTGAGGTCTCACTTCGCATAGGATAAGCCTAAGCAGAGTTTGGTAAATTAAACTATGTAGTTAAATTGGACGATCTATTAGCCTTAAAACGGAAAATCTTTGACAAGTGTGTATTACTTGTACTCACTTATCGAATGGAAACATTAACACTCACAAAAAGATACTGAATAAGATTCGCGTGACTCAGAGGGCTATGGAGCATTAGATGTTGGATGTCTCCCTAAGAGACTAAATCTCAAACGAATAAATACGTCATAGAGAAAAAATCGCGTCGCTAAAATGAAATTGGGCAAGACAGCCAGATTATAAGATACCCAATAGAAAAAAAAAAATGATTGTCGAGTGACGACCAAGAAGCCCTTCGAAGCAGAGGACGCTCACCAACCAGATAGACAACCGGAAGCGTGTTAGCAGTAACTGGATGCAAGCCGCAACTTAAAGGTTTTCAATGACGAATGTACTTTTTAAAAGATCCTTTTCATTAACTTTTACAACTATACTGCAATGCTTTATTGATTTAGGATATATAGGTAATATATAGAAACGCTGATTAGTATATTACTGCACCATGATTTCTCCATCTCCGTGGGAAGTTTTGTCAAAAATGAACAAAACTTAAGGCATCGATTCTGGATCACCTGTATCTGCTTCTTCTTCCTCTTCAGTTTTGTTCTTTTTCCCAACTTTCGTAATTTGAACACCAAAATAATGATAAGGGCTGTTGCTAGGATATATACTGGTGGTGTCCATAGAAGATAATGGTCCTTCATTGTTAAATACACGAATTGAAGTGTTTCTTCTGTTGAGAGTTTATGCAGTTCATCAAATTGGATTCTGTCTAATTTTAGAGGCTTCACTGTTGGATCTTCCCTTTGAAGTTTAATTTTGATCTTTGGCAGGGTTAACGGTTCTTCTTCTATTGTTGCTTTGGAGTTAATGTAAACTTTTCTTGGAACTAAATTTTACACTAACTTTTAATGAGAAATACAGATAAACTATAGCTCGGCGAGAAAAAATGTATAAATTGTAAAGTGAATAAAAAATAAAGCACAATCTTCTGTTCAAATTTCAGACTAATCCAAAAAACCTTACTAATGTAAATAATTACCCAATCATTATTTATATGTTATATTTCCAAGGAGATAAGTAACTACTCTTTATTTACTTACCATCATCTTGTTTGAATTCAGCTTTAAGACATTTCTTTACATCTAAATAATCACATGTATCATTTGTACTTTTCCTGGTAGGTTCCTCCTTAATTTCAATTTTAAAACTATCCTGTAGAACTTCATCTACTTTGTTATCTATTTCTCTTTTGCAAGCCACATCACCAATTTCTTGTTTTACTTCATTGCAAGTCGTCTCACCAACTTCGTGTTTTACTTCAGTTTGATTAAACATGACTTTATATGTAATATGTTATCAAATGTTATCAAATGTTTATATTGTATTTTAAAAAATACTATAGAATAACCTCAAAAAAATCACAATCTTGTTTATTAATAAGTAATAAACAATAAACTTAAAGCTGTTCCTTCTGCTGTGCCATCGAGTAAAATTGTCTTTTTGTTCACGGTTTCCACGGTTCGTTTTTTTTACATGGAATGTTTTACATGTATTGAAAAAGTTCTGAATTAGAAGCCAAATATGGTCCAGATAGAATAATTATTGTGTTATTTATGGCTTGCAGTGAACATAAATGGAAACATGTGAATACTTGGGAATAAAGAATGGAGAAATGTAAGATAAAGACTAGAGAGTGGTTGGAATAGTAACCATCTACTTCTACTATCTCGTAGTATCTCATCAGATCTTCTTTTTGGGGGTATTGCAGCTGAGAAGCGGGATGACGTTCTAGCATTTTCTGGATATTGCTTCTGTTTTTATAAGTTCACTATGACGAGTTTTAATTTTTTGCGAATGTGATTGTTGTCTGTAGGTCATCTTATATTTGTATAATGTTTTGTAAGGCTAAATTCAACTGGTCTATAAAGTTTCGAACTTGCATGTAATGGTTGAAATCAATGGTTAAGATTTTGTTAATTTCTGCGGCTATTATCTCTTGATTGTGGATTAGTAGCGTCATTGTAATAGTTATTCATTATTTTCTTATTTAAGGTTTAATTAGTTATTGATGATATTAATAATATTTTGTTGATTGAGTTTAAGTGGCTGAATTGCAGCATCGTATCTTTTTGTGAATACAGGCTATTAGCTCTAATATCACACGCCAGTAAGGTGATCCTCTACATACTGCAACGGCGTCTAGAAAACTTCATAAGTTGGCAAATAGCACCTGAGCAGGCTGGATTTGTAAAGGGCAGAGGTCATCATCATCATCAATCAGCCAATCGCGTCCACTGCTGGACATAGGCCTCTCTCAATTCTTTCCAGTGTTCTCTACACTGGGCCGCTTGTAGCCAGTTTCCCGCTACACGTTTAATGTCATCGGTCCATCTAGTCGGTGGTCGTCCTCGGCTTCTTTTATAATTTCTGGGCCTCCATTCCATAATACGTCTTGTCCACCGTCCATCTTGTGTTCTGGCTAAGTGCCCTGCCCAGTTCCACTTAAGCGTCGTGGTTCTTTCGATGACGTCTTGAACTCCTGATCTTCGCCTGATTTGTTGGTTTGTTATGTGGTCTCGAAGGCTCACGTTCAGCATTGCACGTTCCATGGCTCGTTGTGTAACTCTAAGTTTATTCGCAGATTTTTGCGTGAGTGTTAAAGTCTCTGCTCCATAAGTTTGTACAGGTAAAACACATTGGTTATAAACCTTTCGCTTGAGACACATGGGAATTGAACTTTTTAGAATATGGCTTAATTTGCCAAATGCTGCCCATGTTAGACCTATTCGCCTCTGTATTTCATGTGTTTGATTGTCTCTGCTTATTTTGATTTCGTGTCCCAGATATTTGTAAGTGTCTGTTTGTTGTATGGTATTATTGTCAATAGTTATATTTCCACTCATTACGAGATTTGTTAGAATTTTAGTTTTCTCAAAGTTTATCTTTAATCCTGCTCTTTCAGACAGACTTTTAAGCGAATGCATCATAGTAACTGTATCATGTAAGTTATCTGCGATTAATACAACATCATCTGCAAACCTTAGGTGATTTAATCTTTCTCCATCTATATTGATGCCCATATCTTGCCATTGAATACCCTTAAATATTGACTCTAGAGCTGCCGTGAACAATTTTGGTGAAATATTGTCTCCTTGTCTAACTCCTCGACCTAAGCTGAATTTTTCTGTGTCTTCGTGCAGTCGTATACTTGATGTAGCGTTCTGATAGATGTTTTTGATAAGTGTCGTTTACCTGTAATCTATTCGGCTTTGATTTAGGGCTTCCAGTATTGTTTCAAACTCTACAGAATCAAAAGCCTTCTCGTAATCGACAAATGCAAGAACCAGTGGTATGTTGTACTCGATGCACTTTTCTATTAAGATCTTTATGGTATGCAAATGGTCATTTGTGCCACATCCTGCCCTGAAGCCTGCCTGTTCTTTGGGCTGATAGAAATCAAGTTTAGGTGTTAGCCTCTTTGTTAAGATTTTCATAAAGAGTTTGTACATATGTGTCAAGAGGCTGATGGGTCTATAATTTTCTAATTTAGTAATATCGCCTTTTTTGTGTAACAAGACTATTACTGCATTGTTCCAGTCTTTTGGCAGAGGTACTAGAGAACAAATCCTTAATGTACGAAACATCATAGAAAAAGCCAGAGAATACCAGATCCCGATATTTATATGTTTCGTCGATTATACAAAGGCCTTTGATAATGTTAGATGGGACAAACTATGGAACATATTGACGACAATGGGTGTACCTAAACACTTGACTCACCTTATTAGCAAACTGTATCAAGATAACCTGGCCTATATTCGAATGGACGGATATCTGTCTGACAAATGCACTTTGGAGAAGGGAGTACGCCAAGGATGCGTTTTATCTCCCTTATTATTTAACATCTATTCGGAGTTCATAATGCGCAGAGTTTTTGGATGGTTGGGAGGGAGGAGTATACCTAGGTGGTGTTAAGATATCTAACTTGCGTTTCGCAGACGACACTACACTTCTAGCCTCTACTCCAGAAGAAATTACTAAATTATTAAAAAAACTCGAGGTAGAAAGTGCTAAATTTGGACTCATGGTTAACTACAACAAAACCAAAATCATGGTTATTGATCGCCAACAACAGTTTCCTGAAACCCAAACTATTGCGGGATGCGAGGTAGTCTCATCTATGATATATCTTGGAGCTCTAGTTAACAACACAGGTAGTTGTGAATCCGAAATTAGAAGACGCATTCAACTAGCAAGAGCAGCAATGAGTGAACTAAACGGGGTCTGGCATGATCGTCACATTACTATGACAAACAAAAAGAGACTCGTTTCAACTCTGGTCTTTTCCATATTTTACTATGCATGCGAGACATGGACAGTCAAAGAATCAGATCGACGACGTATAGACGCCTTTGAAATGTGGACATGGAGACGCCTGCTTCGAATTCCATGGACGGCTCGCCGTACAAATATCTCGGTTCTGGATGAAATTAAACCGGATCAGCGTCTCTCTAGTACCGTTTACTCTAGAATTTTAAAGTTCTTTGGCCATATCCATCGAAGTGATCACAAAATGGAGCAGTTGGTGGTCCAAGGAAGGCCTCAGCCTCAACGCCAACGCGGAAGATCTTCACAGCGATGGGCGGACATTACTAAAAAGCTTCTCAATAAACAGTATACTGAGGCAATACATATAACTGATGACCGCGACCAGTGGAGAAATATTATCAATCAAACTGTCCGAGCTGCTGAAGCCCAATTATGAACCACAACACATCTACTAATGTTAATGACTGTGATGATGATGATGATGATGATCTTTTTATGTCTTCTTGATTTAGGTTTCCTGAGATGGATTTTATAATATTTCCTAATCTATTTATAAGACTTCTTTTATTTTTGGTTGCTATATAAACTTTTTATTTTTAAACAGCCAAGTTTTCTCTTGGCTGTTTTGAGAAGACACTGCAATGTTTTGCTAAAGTTTTGTAAACTTAGTCCATTTTCTATAGCCGTGGTTGTAGGTTGACATTGAAATTCCAATGTTTCGATTTCTTGTGCTATTGGTTCCAATTGGAAATATTGGATAAAATCATGGGTGCTACTTTGGATTCTGGCTTAATGGGAAGAATACCTGGATTGTCTTGAAAGTCCTGGATTTTCACTTCTAGTGATGTTACTGAGATATATAGATAAAAGGTGATGATTGGGTGGATTTCTTTTCGAAAGAATTGGTTTCTTTTCTTTTTTTGCTTCCTTTTTGTGTCTTTCATTATATAAATGGATTTTTACAAATCGACACTGGCTTTTCTTAGACTTCAGAGGTTAAACGGCTGTGGTTCTTCTTGGAAATTAGAAATGGACAATTCGAATGTAATTATAGTTTTAAATTGTTTCTAATGCCTTGTGTCTGCTTCATCTCGATTGACGGTGATAAAATAAAATATAGTTTTATTAACAGCTACTGAATTATTACATTATAGTTGTTGAGGTAACAATTAGACTGCTTTGAAGTGGAATCTCTGACAACTGGATTAAAAAAAGAAAAATAAACAAACCTTATCATATGACCATTGAAGAACGACCATAATATTTTATAATAATTAAAAAGTACTTTAGAACACAATGTAACAAACACTTTTATCCATTTTATGAATGTAAAATTGCTGTAAATGTTAATTGATTTAGTTATTATTTGTCAGGCAGATTGGAAGAGGAAAAATATTTCGACTGTATATATACATTTTTTTTGCTCTACATTATTTAAAAATCAACTTACTCTTATCACAAAAATATACATGAATACATGAAGAAATATGCAAATATTCAATATTCAAGTAAAACAAACAAGTATATAAAGAAATATTCCACGACAAACAAAGTGATACATTTAAAAAGACTCTGAAAAGGGTCGTTCGGTTTTTTCCTTCATTTATTAAATCCCCTTAAAAGTTACTGTACGGAAACGTTAATAAGCAAAATACTGTACGTGATTGGGTGGCTAATATGCTTTGAAACTTCTCTTTTGAATAAAGCTACAGACTTCTACCGACAGAGTGGCTGAATTATGTGGCATAAAAAGAAGTTATGGCACGTCTGCATCGTCTCTTGATGTTGTTAAGCAGACTTTGCGGATTTAAAGTTATTAAGGAGATTTCAAGATGCTGTTAAACATAGATTATACGAACTTTTACTTGAGATACTCTGTTTTTAAATATGTGTGTATTTGAACACACTTTGAGATTTTTCTGTCACAATATATTACAGAATTTTTTATTAGTATTCTTATTAATATACCACAAATGAGGACAGAGGGGTTATGATTTTGGCCTATT